GGTGGGGGGGTTTTGTTTTTTTTATAAAACGAACACCTTAAAAAAACAAAGGGAAACACCCCCCTCCCATTTAGGCACGAAGGATTTTCCTTAGCCAGATAATGAAATGTTTGCAAGAGAACAACCAAGCTCAGAGAACCCCAAGGACTCCACAGTTCAACCCTGAGCTACATATGTTCTCTTCTATTAATAGTAAATGTGATAGGTTAAAAACAAAGATCTTCACAAGAATAAGGTTTTCTATAATGTAATGGGAAACAAATCATACTTAAAAGCCCAAAAGCTGTGTTCTAATGACTCCCTCTAAACTCTTTAGAGTTTCTCCCATTGTCAACTATTGTTCACTGTCATGTCAAACACCAATAGTCTAAATTCATAATTACTGTTGAGTACAACTGGGAAATTCAAAATGAGTGGGCAAAGCAACTCAATTGCTTGACATTTTAAAATTAGATGCACACATACTTCATGTGTGTTGAGGATTATAATGTTATTGTTACCTATACGTCGAAATTTCAGAGTTTGGCATTACACTTTCTGCTCGTTTATTTTCACTGGGACAATAAATAAGGAAGCCAGTTTGGTGTAGTGGTTAAGGCACCAGGCTAGAGACCGGAAGACCAGGAGTTCTACTCCCACCTTAGGCAAAAAGCCAGCTGGGTGACCTTGGGCCAGTCACTCTCTCTCTGCCCTAGGAAACCACTTCCGAAAACCTTGCCAAGTAAATTGCAGAAACTTGTCCAGACAGTTCCCAGGAGTCAACACTGACTTGAAGGCACAAAAATAAATAAAAAAACAAACAAACAAATAAATAAATAAGAAAAAAAAAACACATAAACAGAAGTCAATATTGTTGGCACTGAAGATCTACTTGTCAAGACTGATCACTTTTCTATTTTTGCAATTGTAAACAATAGCTTACAACAAGTGTATCTTTTTTACAAACTCTCCCAATTCTTCATCTTTCAAAAGATTCACTTTGAATTAATAATTAAAAACCCCTCTCCACTTTCACATTTAGATTTTAAAAATGAACATTCGTCTGACCTGGAATGTTTTGAACAAGTATAGCAAGCAAGACTTACAGAAACAGACCTGAAATAAATGAACTTTATTAAAAAAAGAAAAAAACCAATGGCATTTCTATTGAGCATCAAGCCTTTCTTTGATAATAGTCAGTGATCTCTGAAAATCAACAGAACTGCAAAGTCTGAAATTTGCTCTTCCATTCCGCAGCCATTATCATCGGTTTTGCCAGTACTACAGATCACCTACATGTCAGAGAGAGTGTGTGAAAAATTATACAAATCATTTAGCAGAGAGAGGGGAGTGGAAAAAACACTTACGCATACATGAAGGAGTATCAGCTGTCCACTGTGTAGCATTTTCTTTCCAAACGCATGTGACAACTCCTTGACCGATCAGCTGATGCTCTTCAGAACAACGAAATGTAATTACTGAGCCAACAGTGGTACCATTTCCGTAGATAATCTGTGATGAGCCGAGATGAGGTGGAAATATCTGGCTGCACTGTCCTATTAAAAAGAGAAGAAAAAAAAGCAGGTGCTTTATATTTATCACCCTGTCCTTTTGGCAGACCCATAAGGGGAAACATATTTAGCATGAATGCATCTTAATATTATCATGAGATTAAAAACAACTGAGATTAAATGAATTACTATCTGGCATAGCACAGTAAGAAAGAGTTATGCTAGGACTGTAAAGAATAGACTTAATGATAAATAGTGTGCCAAAAGCACTCTACATTTGTGGCATCCTTAAAGATACACACAAAAAAAATCCAGAAATGCAAAAAGCAAAAGAAGGCAAAATGGCTGTATGCTGATACTGAAAACAGTTGGAGAATGATGGAAATCAAAAAGCAGTTCAGACAGAAGAAGATTTGCCCAACAAAATGCTGAGTTCTAGAGATGAGCAAGAGGAAAGAAGAAGTTATATCTAAATAAGTAATGCAAAGAATTGGAGGATAACAATCAGATGGGAAGTATAAGTAGGTTTCTTTAAGAAAATTACAGAATCAAAGGAAACAAGATGGGTATAATAAAAGGCAAAAGAATCAAACCTGTACTGATGAAAGAAGATATAAAGAACAGATGGTGAGTATATATAGAAGATCTGTACCAAAAAAAAAAAAGGCAAATCAATTATACATATAAAGGTTTGACCACTGTACTAGAGCCAGACATTTTGGGAAGTGAAGTCAAATGGACCCTAGAAAGCCGCAGGAGTTGATGAAATAGCAGCAGAACTTCTAACAGTCTTACAAGATGATGCAGTTAAAGTGCTGCATGTGTCTTGTGAGCAGGCATGAAAAACTCAACAGTGGCCAAGAGACTAGAAAATATCAATTTATATTGTAATTTACCAAAAAAAAAATATGCTAAAGAATGATGAGACTACTGAACAATTGCATTTATCTCACAAGCTCGTGAGGGAATGCTCAAGATCTTGCAATTCAATTTTCAACCATACATGGGATGAGAATGTCCAGGTGTACAAACTGGATTCAGAAGAGGTGGGGGCACCTTGGATTACATTCCTAACATATGATGAATAATGGAAAAGAAGGGGAGTTCCCAAAAGACATTTATTTTTATTGTATTAATAATACTAAGGTTTCTGATTGTACAGATGACAAGAAATGGAAGAATTTGTATGATAAATAGGAAGCAACTATTAGAACAGAATATGGGAAATTAAATAGTTCAAAATTGGGAAAGGAGAATGCCAAGATTATTGTCATCTTATTTATTTAACTTTTATTTATTTAACAGATTTGTATGCCCATCTAAAAACACAATTTTGGGTGGCTCACAACAACAACAAAATCCAGAACTATAAAAATCATAAAACCAAAATAAAACCCAGCACCTCAATCACCCCCTTGGGATGCCCCCCAACCAACTCCAGACATCCTCACTCTGCCCCAGTGCCTGATGGCCTTCCGAAAGGCTAAAAGAGTAGGGGCCTGCCAAATCACACACACAAGTATATGCAAACTTATATGCAGAATATATTATGAGAAATGTTGAATTTGCAGAAATATAATTTAGAATTAAAATTTCTGGGAGAAACACCAGTAATCTCAGATATGTTAATTATTCACTATAATGGCTAGAAGGAAGGAAGGTTTAAGGAATCTCCCATCAAAGGTGAAGGAAGAGAGTACCAAAGGTGGTCTGCTACTCATTATTTTTTAAAAAAGAAACAAACTAACAATGTCAATCCTAGCCCACAGGCAATGAAGTTGAAGTAGCCACAGTATCCTCCTTGGCTCAAAAATTCACAGTGATAGAGAATGTAGTAATGAAATAGACATCTTTACTTGGGAGAAAACTATGACAAATCTAATCAAAATATTAAAGTTTTGTTTATGTCATGGTTTTCCAATTGTAGCTAGAAAAGGCTCGATGAATGAAAGGCTGAACAAAGAAAAACTGAAGCCTTTGAATAGTGAGACTATTCAATAATAATGAAGCTAAATCTTAAACATGTTGGATACATAATGTGAAGGAAAGAGTCCTTGGAGAAGACCCTGACAGTTGGAAAAATCAAAGGGAATTGAAAAAGGCCAACAGAAGACAAGGCAGCTAGACAATCCTGGAGAAATGATGTTCACTCAGTCCTAAAGACTCAGAAGTTATTAAAAACTAAACTAATACAACACAACACAGTGACTAAGAGTGTAAATTATAGTTCTTAAATTTCTTGGTACAAATCTTAACTCAGATACATACTCCCTAGTAAATTTAGCCACACAGGTTGCCATCAAGGGTAACAGTATCGAGCTATGTTATAGAGCTGAAGTAAAGATTATTCAGATAAAGAATAAGGAGTATTTTATAGGCTTGAAATATGCTATATAATTGCTAAATAGTGGCATTACAGTATCAAAGGTGAGAGGAAATTTACAAACTGTATCTTATCCTGTGAAGAGTAAACAAGCTAAATGGATTCTAAGTACATAGTTGATAGGTTCTGACAATCTCAAAGAGATAAATGTTGCTTCCTCTTCATCAATTAGAAGCCTAGCCTCATATTTCACACTAAACAGAGGTCTGTGGCATTAGACCAAGTACTCTCATATCTGAATTAATTACTACTTCATTCCTAGTTCAAATGCAGAATAATTTAATACTTCATATTGCTATATATTAAAACTAAAAGGCACCAATTTACAACATTTTTTGGACTAATTTAAGTATATAGAGGGACGTTCAAAACAGATCCTAAAATGCTTCCTACTCTTGCCTTGAAAGTTCCCAGTTTTCTGGGAATAATACGCAGGGTGCACATACTTTAGCATTAACATTTGAAGAATATCACTGTAATTTAGTTTAAGTATGGCTTCCCTTTCATTAAGAAATATTACAAGTGTCCTGCCAGGAGGTTTTGAAGTCAAGCAGGGCAACTGAAAGGAGAAAGACCAAATATTCAAATCCACTGGGAAAAGCCACACCACCAGCAGAAAATCTGCATTAGATTTTACTATATAATTACCAAATCCTTGAATTTAAAGGTCTTGCTAGCACTACAGCATTTCCCTTTATTTTGGTATTGACTTGAATAGTATTTTTCTTTTTACAACCTTTTAGATCAAGATTTTAATGTTTGTAGCTCAAAACTATTCAGTCTCAGTGGTGTTCAGGTTTCCAACTGAGGCCATAATACCTTCACCACCAGCATCGTAAAAATGAAGGATGGCTGTAGGAAACTCATTTCAGTGGTAGATAGAGATGTAACAAGTGCTCAATTATGCCTGACTTATTTTGAGACTTAAAGAAGTAATCATATTCTTGTTTTTGTTTTAATTCAAAGAGAACGCTTATCAGTAACATTGATGAGATTAAGACAATGCACCCCACCACCCTGGACTTTAAGACAGTGCATCTAAAGTCAAGATACAATTAAAAATGTCCTTCTGTGAGCTGTTTCCTACCAGAAAAGTTATTCAACTCCAGTATGTAAAAAGACCCCAGGGACATGACTTGCTCTGTGCTCCTGACAATGACTGCACTGTTGGCAAAAGTGGCAGCAATTAGTTTAATTGGAGGCCTCCAGGATGTTGTCCACCAAATTATTGTCTCTCCTCTAACAGAAAAGGGCAGTTTGTATGATTGTGCTATAAACAAACACAATCAACTAATTTCTGGGAGACAAACTTGCATACTTTAATGCAATCAGATTCTATAATCAATGAAGACCACAGCATACAATAATTAAGGAAAAATATTCAAGAGTACACATAAAGCTTGCTTTTGCAGGATTTGTTTATATGGTTTTCTTCCTCCTTCAATTATAGATGAGTTTCTCCTAATGTGGAGAGTATTGGCAAGAGACATGATAAGAAGCAAGCATGTCAGCAATGCCACTGCTCAAAGCAAAGTAAGGAATAGCAGAAGGTAGGGGAGAAAGAACAGGTAGACAGGAGGAAGAATCCAGAATTCTCACAGCCAGGCTGTTACAAATTGTTCAGGTTGATGAACTGCAAAGCATCATGACTATCAAGGAACAGAACTGCTACTAGACCACAGCTGGCTCCAACCTTCTGAAAGCTTCAGCTTTCTCAACAGATTTCACCCATATATACTTGCCATTGGTCCTTTCCCCTTCCACAGCCCAACCTCATTTCCTAGAAATTCCCCATCCAAATGCTTAAAACACCCAGCTGAACAGGACTCACTTTCTGGTGGAAAGTAATTGTCCCACACTCATAGCAGCAAAAAATAAAACCCTTGGGTATGATCCATCTGATCACCTGCTCACTGGAGTTAAAGAAGGCATGATTCAGAAATGATACTGAGAAGTAATAAGGTGTCTTTTAAACCTATAGAAAAATACAGGGTATATTCTTCAAGAATTACCTTTCTCAGTCAAAGAGAGAGACTGACCTCTCCTTGTACTGAGAACAGTCTAGCAAATCAAGGAACAGGACCCCACTCTGAAGCCTGAAACACTGATGCTGTCTAGCCCACAAACCCAGGGAAGCAATCTACCTTTCAACTGGATTTGGTTCCCTACCTCTGCCCCCAAATCCTTGACCAGAGGACCCTCAGGTAGGCTTCCTAGGACGGAAGGAGACTCTTCCATCTCCATAAAACAATGTTCTAGCCATTATCCCACTTAGGAAGAAGAAATCAAACAGACAACATAAAAGAACTAAGTTTCACTTTTAAAAAGGCCATCTCTAGAGCTACAGTCTGAAGCAAAATTATGAGATTCTAAATGCAACTGAACAGAATGGGAATGACATATATAAATACAACTAGACAATCCGTGACCCGCTGGGTCATCGTTTCAGAGATATTTCCTTACTTAAACAGAGAAACAGAATGACTAAGGGCAAAAAAGCAGCAGGAGTGTGAGTGCCTTGTGACTTGCTGTTGGCTTCCCCATTGACTGTGCTTGTGGGAAGCTGGCAGGGACTGTCAGAAATCTCCCTCCCTCCCACGTCTCTCCCTCCCTCCCTTCCTTTTCCTCCCTCCTTCCCTTCCCTTCCCCTCCCCTCCCTCCC